TGATTAACAAAAAAAAAAAACAGTAACGATTTTTACATTTAAAAACTGAACATTAAATATTTAAACTAGTACTACAAAAAATTGTATACAAATAGTCTTGTCCAATTCGCAAAGTTTTGCAATTTTGTAACCCAAGTCAAAATCCACTTCAATTTTTTGGTAACGTCATTTAAAAATTTTGACTTTTTAAATTTTGTTTACATCACACATACAAATCTCACGTAACGCCAGATTGGAAATGCCCATATGTGACGAACAAAGGTATTAACACAGAGAATTTTTCGCAATATATGCAAAGTTTTTATTCTAATTTCTTTTAGCTAATTTTTTATAAAAATATAGTTCATACTACAACAAAAAAAACATAAAAATAAAATATTTGCTGGCAACTTCTTAATTTTTTTCATAGTCCGGTTGAAATTGCAGGCAAATATTTTTTATTTGTATTACCTCGCTCCCTAAATTGCCATCCAAGTCGTTTTCGTATATTAAAAGGGTTTTACTTACTGCTGACATTTCTTTATCACCAAGCGTGTCTTATTTGTTGAGGAACCTAATATGTTCGTGGACAAGTTTGTAGGTCTCAATCCTCTTTCTCAGTTCACTCTCAAGTGCGTTTATTAAAGGTACGAAACCTTGGCTCGAAATTTATTCGATGATTTTTTAATGTCATCTAATTTTAAAAAATAGGTTTATTTATTTTTGCTTTATTTTAATTTTACTTGGTTAGTTTTTCCTTTTTTCTTTTGTTTATTAGTTATTATTATTTTATTTTTAAAAAGCTTTTGTCTTTCGAAAGACTGTGGTGAGTTGAAAGACAGTAGCCAAAAAAAAAGGTTATTAGTATTATTTTTTATAATTTCACTAAATTCAAGTTAGAATCGTTTCATTAATACTACATACATATGTTCACGTTGAACCATAAACTCGAGTTTATCGTTTTTTAGGAGGATTTTTATACAATTTTTTTTAGTATAGGTAATAACAATCAAACGGCATTTCCAATTAATATCACAAATCCTTTT